TGAAACAAAAGCTTTACAATGACTCACTCATTTATTCAATGATTCCCCTGCTTAGAGTTACAATTTGAGTAATTCTAACTTTTAGTCACTTGCAGATAGTGAAAGGTAAACATATTTAAACTAATTAAGATCTCCAGATTTTTTCAATAAAGCATTTAAAAGGCTTCAGAATAGTAATAGAGGATTTATATTTATTGCAGAAATTCACCCCTACTCGCCCCTCCGTCTGGGGCAACATTTCATGCAGGTATCTTGAACATTTTTATTACTCAGCAGCTCCCCACACAAAGCACACTGGAAACACCACATGCTAGCCAAAACAATTAAGGACTTGAATAAACTTAGTTTGACTGGCAGACACTTGAAAATTTTCCTGAACTCGTCAGTGAAAGTAACTTAAGCAAAGCAGAGCAATAAAGGCTCGGGTAACTAAAGCAGAGCCAAGCCATTAGAACTTTATACAAAAACCCAAACTTACATAAAAGCTAAAAAGACCATATTTCTTTAGCATCCTGCAGTGGTGATCTACTTGGGTTATTATGAACACATACATATTTTGGCTTCATCCATATTAAAGATTTATGACATACAGGGCTGTGAAAAATGTTTAGGTTTTTTCATATTTGTCACATGTTTCAGATCAAACAATTTAAATATTAAACAAAATTAAGCTTTGTAAATACAAAGTGCTGTTTTAAAACTAAATGCTTTTTTTAAAATTAAGGAATTACATTTTCACAGTAGTGTACAACCATAACTCTGATGTCAGAAGATCATCAATATATACATGATTAGGAAACAGACACTATACTGTTCCTACTGCAACTACTGATGTAATTGTGTCTTACCATAGTTACATGACATCTGCAGGTCTGAAATAACTCTCAGAAGATTGTTCATCTGATTTGTCCTCTGCTCTGTCTCTATGATGCTGTCTGATGCAGGATAAGCAGAGTCAATGTAGATAATGTCCAACAGGTAGATCCCTGTAGAAGGCACAAAAAAGCTAGTTAAACTCTTCTAACAACAGGAATAATGATGGGTTTGAAAGCATACCCAGTGATTTCAACAGAAGAATTTATTACTTCAATGAAAGCTTTAATGTGTGGAAGCATCAGTGTTTTCTGTATTTGGTTCTTTTTAGTCTTTCTCACAATGTCTCATAATGTCAGCGAGAGATATTGTGAGAGCTAGAGGAGCTGCCAGAAGATTTCCCCTGGAAGTCATTAACACAAATGTGTTATATGGAAACACTGATAAACACTGTTAATCTTGTTCACTACAGATTCTAGTGAAAATGGGCATTAGGCTTTTATTGGTCATTGCAATGTTTTTACTCATTTATAAAGGATGTGGACATATTATTTACAACTGGAATACATGAATTATTTTGTGGATTTTGGTTATGAATAGTGGACTTTGGTAGTTGCAAACCTCAGGAGAATAATATAATTACTAAAATTTAAGAAAAACTGTAGTAAAAGCAATTTAAATAATCACATCAGCTCTGTCACAAGTGATCTGGAAAACAGCTGCTGAGTCACCAACTTTCCAACAATTTATTTTAACTTCTCAAGTGTTACAAAATAGTGGGGTGGAAACATACCCTGAGCATGAACAGAAACTCCCTTATCCTGCAGTGTAGAAAAATAACTACGCGTACAGTAATGTAGAACATTTTCTGCACTTTATATTTAACTTTATATCCACATAATATGATCAAAGAGGTGTCTGATCTAAATTCATTCTGCAATGTATCCAGAGAAAGCCACAAAAAACTATCTTCAATTAAAGAAGAAGAACAATAACTGCTGGTACAACCTTCATCCGAGAAAAACTGTGTACAAGTGTACACAGAAGTACTGGTGTTGTGTTAAAGTGCCTGCAATATTTTTGCAGCTTTGTGTTTGTATAATGTACAATATGTAATCTGCAGACCAGGGACTAATAGATGGAAACTGTATAAAGATATTGTTCTATAAACAGTGAGATGCTTTTTGGTCAAGCGATTATGGTGAAAATATCAAACAAACACATTACCTTTTCAAAGAGGTATATGTTCAGTTATTTAGCTAATACTTCCTTCTGTAGCTGATAAAACCTGAGTTCAAAGACTGTATTAAAGTTACATCCATAGAGCATGCCAAACCACCACGGTAAACAGCAAAAGAAACATGTTTTTATTAAGTAAAAGCAACAGCACAGTGGCATAGTGGTTGGAAATTTACCCCATGTAGATACCTTTCTGTTTCCCTCTCAATTATTATTCAGTGTACACAAAAAAAATTGATAAATAGCCATGGCCACATTCCATTCCACTGTAGTGTCCTATACTCATGACCCAAGTGTTCCATACACAGTTACATAAATCAGTGTCAGCTGTTAGGCCACAAATATGGTTTTGTTTTTCCAAACATGCAAGCCATGTACTTTAATTCAGTACAGAAGGAAGTGATAATGTGCTAAACTTGTATGCTAACTGCCAACCATACTAAATACAACAGTACTAAAGAAAGTTCACAGTAACATTTTATTATATGATCCTAATAAATGGTAAACTGGTTGTTGAATAAATTTTAGTGAGTATAGAAATCAGAGGCAAAGTCATCGTCTAGCCCGTCAAATATTAGGAAGATTTGGGGGTTTAAATAGCTTCCTTCAAGTCTTGTATAATTAGGCAACAAACTTAGCACTGGTTTAAAAGACATAAACAAAGAAAACCTTCCTCTACTTATTCAGAAAATTGAGAGCGCCTTACAAAGTTGGGCCAATTTAGGGCTCTCTCTGTTGGGTAAAATGACATATAGGATCATTCATAGGAGGTACTGGACTCCCCATAAGATTGCAAAGTTAAAACTGAGGGAATCAGATATGTGCTGGGGTGTGACAAGAGTAGAGACACACTAATACACATGCTATACGAATACCAAAAGAAATAGAATCTATGGAAAAATAATTATTGTTTCTCACTGAAATACTCGGAATACAGCCATTACAGATCCCAGTACTCTAGATATTAGGTATAGTAACAGACGACCTGAAGTTACTATTCCTTCCACCCCTGAAGTTATCGTAACTGATAGTCACATAATATCCCATAAAGTGATACAGGATATGATGTGATGCTGCTGAAAGAAAGGGGCGTTGCTGGCATGTGATGCCATGAAATGTTGATGCCTACTTTGTATATGAAAATATATAAATATACATAAATGTACCTTTTTTTTCTTCTGTTATCAGCTCGTTGTTAGTTGAGTGGTTTGTAGTTTTTTTCCTTTTGTGGTGTGCATCTATGTAAATATTGTTGCTATTACATATCACCATCTTCTCAACTCCACATTTGCTCAACTAGTCTACATGTGGTTACGGGACTTGGAGAAGGTATTCAGCTGCATCCCTTTGTCCTGTAGGGGTACTTTCAGAGTGTAGGGTAGTGGGCCTGTTGTTGCAGGCTACTAAAATGGATGAGGAAGAACTATTATTAACAATTACACACCAAGTTGACAAGATGTGTGCACATGGAAGAGGATCATGGAATCTACTGGAAATACTGAGTAACACCTCAGGCAGTGTTTTAGCATTTTATCTCCTCATGTAATGACGAAAGAAATTAATAGAATGAAGCCTCAGTGTTGGATGGAACAATCAAAAGTAGTAACTTCTTCAAGGACACGAAGAAGACAAATACAAGTCCAAACAAGAATATAATGGGTTAAAAACAATTCTCTGGGTTTCTATTTTTCTTAGTGCTACAGCCTAACCCCACTGAGATGCACTGGCTCTACATGATATCAGCTGTTCTGACAGTTCAACTGTTAATATTACAGCTGCACAAAACAACCAAAACGATTAACAAATATTTGCCTATGATGTCATACTGATAGTAGAGTTTAATGCGTTTCAGCTGTGCTCAGTCTAAAAAAGCTGTGCAGCCTTGTTTCCTGTCTCACAGCAAAGCCTAGTCAAAGCATCCAGCACTCATTGGCGAATTCAAACACATTGAGTCAGTAGTTGGGCAGCTGCCACTCAGGATATAATGCTACTGTTCATAACAGATGAAGCCAATTTAAATTCAGGAAGTTGTTTTTAATGATTACATTATTTTTCTACATTTCTTTGTCATGTCCATATTTGTTACCTTTCTTCAAGATAAATGTAGTGTTAAAAGCAAAAAATGTAAAATAATAATAGGAATAATATTGCTGTTGTACCATAATGCCTTTTAGGATCTTTGCTGTCATTCTCAAACAGGACTCCACCTCCACAATGAGAAATGTTACAGCTGAAGATGCAATTCTGATACAAAGCCACTGAGAATGTCCCTGTAAAGATTTGGAAATAAACAAAAAGCACAATCAAAAGCTTCTAGAGTTTCACCAAATTAAATAAAAAACATCTCAATCAGATGTCTCTGAGGGAAAGATAAAAGTATGTCTTACAGCACAAGTTTGTGAGCATGTTGTGCAATTAAAAAAATCACTGAGTCACTGACTATTTGTTGAAAGTTTCTCACATGTTATGCAACCAGTAATTACTATGACAACATAACAAACTGTATCCAGACGCTTCCACCTCTCCTCCAGGCAAATTGTTTGAATGGACAGTCACTGCTTGGTTTTACAGATATCCCCCATTTAAAGACAGAAGGACAGAATACACTATTTTTGAAGGAGCTCTTGAAGGTTTACTATCATCTCACTCTGTGTTCTCCCTGTGCCTGCGAGGGCTTCTGCCCACAGTCCAAAGACATGCATGTTAAGTTGAATTGTTATTTGTGAATGATCTCCCAGTCAGATGGAATTCCACAATCACTGGAGAACAGTGGAAAAAGGGATGACAGCGGAGCTTGCTGAGGATAAGGAATTAAAGGGTTTTTGGAGCCTGTCTCGTGTCCCGATGATGTTTTTGCTGCAAAGGGGAGGGGAAGAAGGAGTCGCTATGCCTCACAGCTTAATTACTCCAAGCAACACTGTCTTCCTTCCATTACATATGAGACACGAAGTAGGAAGAGAAACAGATTTTGTCTTCAGAGCAGGCACGAACTTTGAGTTTGAGACTCATCCCTTCAATGCAACACATGAAATTAGAAAGGAAGGCTTTGTTGCCGCTGTACAGATCATCACATCACAAGTGGACCACTGTCTTTGTGAACTTTAAATCTGATTCTGACAGAAGGTAAGAAATGATATGAAGAACTTTAACTGAATAACAGAGGAAACGTGAATGACTTCTGAGGAGCTGGAGTCAAATCTTAAACAAAAGCAAGAGAGAAAGAGACATAAACAAGTGGAAGTAAGTCAGGAAATTCTCTCAATTTTCATTTTATATGCAACACACACTGAATAAGTGGCTCAACCTTATTTTACACTTAACACAGAGTTTACTTTCCCTTCTGCCTTTTTATTAACTATATGTATGTTAAAGTTATTTCCTGCTTTATTTAAAAATAATGCATTACTTCAACTCTAATACATCTCTAAAAAGTAGAGAGGTTACACAGTTCATGACATTACTTTGCATTACTCTATAATGTTTGTTTGAAATGCTTTGTCACATAACTGCTAGTTCACATTCCATATACTCCTGAGAACTGAAGACAAAAATCTTTCAGTTTAACTGTTTTGTGATTTGTGCATCCATTACAGAGGACATAAAAGAATATGCTGGGTCTCAGGCGCATATGATCACATGTGGAAAATAAAGGCTTGCTTTGCAGAAAGTGTGTGCAATCACTTCACATTGTGGTTCAGGGAGCCTGGAAGTCATTCAGCTTTTATACTAAAGAATTATCTTGAACCTCAAGCATTTAACTCAGACTTTCAATCCATGAACTGCCTTTAAAAATGTTTGTGTTAAATATTATAAGAAGCACTCCAAGAGCCAAGACAATTCATTCTCTGTGCAGGTTTTTACTTATAATAGTATTAAATTATTTATTACTATTAAATTATTGTTAATATTTAGTTTATTTTATTTCTTCTTTTTAACACAATTTGAGGCGTTTAAGATGTTGCATTAAATACACGTTCAAAATGCAGACTTTTGCTATCTGTCCTGTTTAAACCGACTTTAATATACTTGACATCATTTTGAGTACTTTTTTTCATTTTTATGTGAACAAAGTACAGGTGCCGAATTCATTTCATTGTTCAGTAAAATTTGCTTAGTGTTAAATTTCAAGTGAAAAAGTTTTTTCCTCATGAGTGCCTTAAACAATACTGATAATATGTGACAAGCTGTGCAAGCTATAGGCTGTAGCTTCACACTGGATGGCTGAATCCCCAAGGTTTTGAATGCCTTTAACTATCCTGATAATGTCTATTTGTGACGTCTATAAGGGTATAATGTTTATGACGATGACTTTAATTACACAAAGATTATGTAGAAGAAGATAATGAATAATAAATATTGACTTGTAAATAACTGGAAACAAATAACTTTAGCTTATTATATATACTACAGTATAATTAATGAATTTATCTAAAACTAACTGGGCAGCTCATTTTCTTGCTCCTGACAATACTTGCTTTAAAGATATAACATATTTTGAGGTCAAAAAGAAAGGCACATGTGAAATACAAAGCTCAAATATAAAGCTTCATTCGAATGCAAACTGTAATGTGATATTTAAGATCCTATTTTAACAAATTTATTTCTAAACACATATAATACAGCCGAATGATTCTGATGTCTAACACACTTAAGTGTGTTTAAACATGTCACCATTTGTGGATTTGCATGACAGACTCTGATAAGTGTCTGCTTCTGTATACATCAGCTTCTCAGTCACAATAAGTTACAATTTAAGAACTAGTTCTTTTATAAGTTGTGTGTTTTGTGCAGACAACATTGATCCAACTCTGGTTAGGTGTTTTCCACGATTAACGACTCACAGGTCAGTGTTAAGTGGCCTAACAAACACAATAAAACAAAACAAAATAACCCCATCTCTTAAAATGGTCAGGTACAAGTACTGGGTTGAATGACAGAGGAAGCTGCCTCGCAAAACCTAATAACTCCAAAAGAGTTTTTATATTATGCTTGTAGCCAGACAGAGTGCAAAAACTATACAGCAATAAATTTATGACCACTCACATGTTAAACTTACTTGAGGTCAACTTGGCCAAGTAACAGTACTTATGGCCTCTGTTGTATGGGGGAAAAACAGCTCACCAATGTCAGAACTGACCTGGCTGAGACGACATTTTAAAAAAGAAAAATGAAAAAGATAGATGATGTAGTAACTACCATATCCTAAAGCCCAAGATAACATTGTCTTGTGTAACTGTCAGGGGAGGCTCCACTTTTCATGTTGTGTTATTGAACATTCCAAAGCTGTGACAGTATTTTTCATCACAAAAAGCAAGAGAAACAAGAAAACACAATATTCTATTATATGAGGTTGGAGCCTGGAATGGATACAGGGAACATCTTTCACTAAACTACTAAAGTGTAACTGGTCAAATATTGTTAAAATGAGCAGCAATGTTTTCACTATTTCATAATAAGCCAAAAAGGCAACTTTGAGCCTTAATATTTAGAGATACTTAAGAGATACTTAATATTTAGTGAATATCTTTTGTTCATAATGTAGACCATGAAATATGTACATGCAAAAACAGCAGGCAATGACTGAAGCTGGTTGTTGTTCTGGCGAACTTAACATACACTCAACAAAAATATAAACGCAACACCTTTGTTACTGCTCCCATTCCCCATGGGATGGACGTAGAGACCTAAAATTCATTCCAGATACACAATATAACCATCCCTCCCAAACAGTGGTCACAAATCAGTCCAAATGTGTGGTAGTGGGCACATCTGCTATATTGAGATAATCCATCCCACCTCACAGGTGTGCCACATCAGGATGCTGATCTGACATCATGAGTAGTGCACAGGTGTACCTCAGACTGCCCACAACAAAAGGCCACCCTGGAATGTGCAGTTTTTTGCGCTATTGGAGGTCTGGGGACCCAGAACCGGTCAGTATCTGGTGTGACCACCATTTTCCTCATGCAGTGCAACACATCGTCGCATGGAGTCTATCAGATTGTCAATTGTGGCCTGTGGAATGTTGGTCCACTCCACTTCAATGGCTGTGCGAGGTTGTTGGATATTCGTGGGAACTGGTACACGCTGTCGTATACGCCGGTCAAGCACATCCCGAACATGCTCAATGGGTGACATGTCCGGTGAGTATGCTGGCCATGCAAGAACTGGTACATTCTCAGCTGCCATCTGTCCTGAACAATGTGAACCATGATTCATCCGTGAAGCGCACACCTCTCCAACGTGCCAGACGCCATCGAATGTGAGCATTTGCCCACACAAGTCTGTTACGGCGACGAGCTGGAGTCAGATCAAGACCCCGATGAGGACGACGGGCATGCAGTTGAGCGTCCCTGAGATGGTTTCTGACAGTTTGTGCAGAAATTGTTTGGTTGTGCAAACCAATTGTTCCAGCAGCTGTCTGGGTGGCTGGTCTCAGACGATCTTGGAGGTGAACCTGCTGGATGTGGAGGTCCTGGGCTGGTGTGGTTACACGAAGTCTGCAGTTGTGAGGCCGGTTGGATGTGCTGCCATATTCTCTGAAACGCCTGTGGAGACGGCTTATGGTTGAGAAATGAACATTCAATGCACGGGCGACAGATCTGGTTGACATTCCTGCTGTCAGCATGCCAATTGCACGCTCCCTCATTGCTTGTGGCATCTGTGGCATTTTGCTGTGAGACAAAACTGCACATTCCAGGGTGGCCTTTTGTTGTGGGCAGTCTGAGGTACACCTGTGCACTACTCATGATGTCAGATCAGCATCCTGATGTGGCACACCTGTGAGGTGGGATGGATTATCTCAATATAGCAGATGTGCCCACTACCACACATTTGGACTGATTTGTGACCACTGTTTGGGAGGGATGGTTATATTGTGTATCTGGAATGAATTTTAGGTCTCTACGTCCATCCCATGGGGAATGGGAGCAGTAACAAAGGTGTTGCGTTTATATTTTTGTTGAGTGTATAAATACTGACTCTTATACTGATTCATCCTTATTAACCTGCTCTTTCCTCTCTGATTTTACCCTAGCATAGACTGGCTGCAAGACTTGCTATGTAATTAAGTAGATATTAGTTGATTTGCAAGTTACCAGCCGTAATTATTGTTTTATTATTTTGAAAATTTTTCAAAGAGTAGTTGTATAACAGCTACCTCATCATCTTCAGAGAAAAGGTTTATTTGAAGATTTTAAGACAGGTTTCAGAACCCATCACAGTACAGAAATGGTGGTAGTGAAGGCTACAAATGATCTTCTTTTGGCCTCTGACAGTGGACTCATCTCTGTGCTTGTCCTGCTAGACTATAATGCTGACTATATATTTTATTACACGGATAAGAGCATGCTGTAGGTATTAAAAGTATTGCGCTGTAATGGGTTGAACTACATGTATCTAACAGACTTCAGTGTGGCTATGTAAATGGGAAGTCTTCTACACACATAAAGGTTAACTATGGAGTTCCACAGGGTTCTGTGCTAGGGTCAGTTGTGTTTATATTACATACACTTCCCCTAAGCACTACAAATAGAAGGCATAATATACATTTCACTACTGATGATTACCAGATTTTTCTATCCATGAAGCCAAATAAAATACACCAATTTTGCAGGAATGTCTTAACAGCATAACGACCTGGATGACCTCTAATTTTATGCTTAAAATAACAGATAAAACTCATGTTATTGAACTCAGCCATAAAGATCTTAGAAATATGGTATCTAACTCTGGATGGTATTACCTTGTTACATTATAGGCAGCAACTTTCTGGGACAGAGCTGTGAAAATACATACACTGCCTGTATGTATATACATATGAGCTTCTGAGCACACAGAGGTGGTGATAAAGTAATTGCCTTCAACGACTAACACCAGGTCAATAGCTGATGAGAGAAAACAGACCCTTGCTAAGCATCTCTGCTTCATCTCTTTCAGAAATTGTCGTAGTCTGGGAGCAGCTGAACTGTGCTATGATTCTCCCTGTGGTGGTAATGGTGAGTCTCCTGTTGCTCTCTGGACCAGAGTCAGGTCTCCAAGAAGACACTCTAGAAATTGACAACAGCAATGACATCCTAGAGAGAGAATTTATCTACGTACCAAAACGTCAAAAAAGGGCTGTTGCTGACTACAGTGCCTACCAAACAGACAAATGTTCTTATACCTTCATTGTCCCTCAGCAGAAAAACAATGGGGCAATATGTGTGAACTCCAAGGAGCCAGAGACCTTGCTGCAAAACCGTATTAATAAGCAGGAACTGGAGCTGCTCAACAGTGAGTTGCAAAAGCAGCGAAAGCAGATTGAGGCACTGCAACTGCTGATAGAGCTTGATGGGGGTGTGATTAATGAAGTCAAGCTATTGCGTAAAGAGAGCCGCAACATGAACTCCAGAGTTACTCAGCTCTACATGCAGCTGCTGCATGAGATTATTCGCAAACGAGACAATGCTCTGGAGGTGTCACAGCTGGAGACCCGTGTGCTCAACCACACAAATGAGATGGGGAGGCTAGCTGGACGGTACCAAGACCTGGATCATAAGTACCAGCATCTATCAGCCCTCGCAAGCAGCCAGAGTGCTCTCCTGGAGCAGCTTGAAGAGCAGTGTAAGCACGGAGGATACTTTTACAGAAAGGTTCAAGAGCCCAGCCGTCGTCTCCAGCCACAATCTCCTGCAATCTCCCAGCCTCCTTTACAAACACCTGAATTGTCTCCTGGTGGCTACAGACCTTTCCATCCACCCACTTACACTCGTTACACCAACTACCCCATGAATAATGAGATCCAAAATGACCAGAAAGCCAGAGCACTGCCCACAATGCCAGCCGCAACATACAGCTTCACAAATGAGCCCTCTGGTAAGTACTGGTAAGAAATGTTTGTATCTTCCTTTGAAGTCTCTAACTGAACAAACATTTGCAGTCCTGCATTCACTGAGAATATACCAACAGAGACATATTTATTGAATAACTGAACGTTCTTTTAACAAAAATGTCAGATAGTTTAGGTTACTATAGGGTAATTTCATCTTATATTAGCCAATTTGTAGAACATCTTCTGTTCAAATGATATGCATAAAGGTTTTATGGTAGCACATTTCAACATATATAATGGTTGCTATTACATTTTAGCATCATATAACACAGATATATATTTTTTTGAAAAATGGTCTGTCAATCCCCACTTTTGAACTTTTTTTTGCAGTCTGGGGGAATGTTTGATAATAAATATCTCAAATTCTATTACAGGTGAAAGTCAGGTCATCAATATGAATTCAATGTAATTCAATACAATTTTATTTATTTAATGCCAAACTGCAATAGCAGTTGTCTCAAGATGCTTTATATTGTAAGGCAAAAACCCTACAATATTACAATCTGTAACCCAAATCACAATCAGTAATTTAAGACATCAAAAAATGTTTGGATATTGGCTAGTTAAAATGTGGGGGGAAAAAGCTGAGCATGCCTGCAACTTTCATGCTGGGTTGAGCAAAAATATCATTAGATAGTATATTCCAAATAGAACTACATACTTGAGTTTATTCTTAGTCACAACAAGAAGGAAATGCAATTTTTATTCAAATCTCATGCTGGATTGTGCAAATATCTCAAACTGTACCAACATCATTACTAGCTCAGGTAGATCAGAGCAGATCAGCTACAAACTGGAAGGTTGGTGGTTTGATCCCAGTCTGCTCCAGGCTGCATGCCAAACATCCTTGGGCAAGATACTAACCCCATGTTGCTCTCTGATGAGGGATGTGAATATTAGAAACAGCACAGAGAAAAATGCTTGTGTGACTGGGTGAACGAGGGAAGTTGTGTAAAAGGCTCTGAGTGCTCAGAGTAGAAAAGCGCTTTATAAGAACCAGTCCATTTTCAAATTTCAAATTCAAATTTTTATTTGTCACGTACACAGTCATAAACAGTATGATATGCAGTGAAATGCTTAGACAACTGCTCGTGACCTAAAGAAAAAAAAAGGAAAAGGCTATGAATAAGATAGGAAATAAATATGAAAAATTAAAAAGTGTAAATTTAACTAGGAAGGAATAAAATATAAAAAATTAAGGTTAAAAATGAAATAACTGTACAACACAAATTATAAGGAAGGGTAAATTTAACTGGGAAAGAATAAGATAAAATATATAAATTAAAGCTGAAAATAAAATAACTGTACAACAAAATACACAATACATAGTATTACACAGTATAGAACTATATAAGAATGTATGAAGAAATATAAATAAATAAATGTATATATACACACAATAACAGCAGCTGTACAAGTATTAACTGGAATCTTACCATCAAAAATATAATTGCCTATACAGCAATCACTTTATAAACTGTATAAACATATACATGTATGTATTTGATGATGGTGGAGCAGAAAACATTCTAAAAAAATTGATGATTTGACATTAGTGTTATAATCATTTCTAGCAAAATTATCAAACTCCAATATTTTGTTCCATTTGGAAAGGACAACCTTTTATATTTTTGTGGTACAACTACTCATATTTTCTCAATCCAGCATTAAAGCTGAATCAAAATGGCATTTTTGTCATTTTGGGGACCACAAATTTAATGTTAAAAAGCATTCTACATGATTTTTTTACAGTATTGTGCAATTTTATCATTTATCATTCAGAAATCCTAAATAGAAATCTTCCTCACCCCCCCCTATATAAAAAAAACATCATTTCATGAACAATGTGATAGTCACCCTTTGCTTTCTGTAATGTTAAAAGCACTCACATCATCCTAAGATAAAGCACAGAGACTCTGGACTTTTACATAATGATATTATATTGAACTTTCCACAGGACTGAATATTTAAAATATATATTATTCTTTCTGCTTACTCTGGTATGAATGACTGAATATATTTTAGTAAATAACACACTATTAGCAAAACACAGTGTGAAAGAATTCTAGATTAAAATTTTTAGTTCAACATACAAGTGAAGATGTTTGACCTTCATCAGGTTATAGTTAATGCTATCAGAGAAAATATCATGTTCTCTTCGTGCACCTAACTACATTCAGTGTTAAAAGCAGAAGTTGTGCAGGTCTGAGATCAGCACCACCTTAAACACCAAAATGAATTACTGTTTATGCTCTTATATAGTGACACCAGTTACATGGATCGTGAATCCCTTTGACTTTTTGACTTTAACTTTATCAATAATACAGCTGCAGTTTTCACTGACAGTGTTTCATAAGGTACTTTAGCCTTTGTACTTTTTTCATCAGTTAATTTTGGAGTTACTATAAAGGATGGATATATAGGATGATTTGTCTGTTGTCACTGGGTGGTGCTGAGGTCTGAATCTGAGGGCAGCTCCTGTAATCACAAAGAACAGAATCATCACACACCGTGAAATTTGAAGTTTATCCCTCAAATATTAAATAAAATCAAGCCTTATATCCAGATTATCCAGTATCATTTTTATATTTAAGTTGTTTGTGCTTTTTAAAAGGAGACCTGCAAAGATGAGATGAGCAGGTTTCCAGTCCTGGTCACCTGCAAGAAAATAGAGAAACATATAGGAGGTATGCAGTTTTTAAGCTGCTGCCTGAGCACTGGACAACATATATTAACGCTCTCTATATTATTTCTCTCAAAGGATGCAAGGTGTACATTCAGGATTAATTCAGATAATTTTTTAACCTCAATATTTGAAACAAACTCTGTAAAAAAAAAATCTATAAATAAATATATAGAGTTGTGCTGAAAAATTAGCTTTTTAAAAAATGTGGTATTCCTGTTCTGTTTCTCATATAAACTGTTTCAGTGTCTCATCTTCAGCTACTGGTCTGAACATCCTTCAATTAAGTGTGACCTTCAGGTTCAGAGGGTAAATTTATTCGTGTGCACAGATTTAGCTACTAAACATGGCTTTCCCCAACAGCTGATTGCTCATCTTAGCTGGCTAGCTAAGGACATTGATTACAGATTAGCTTACAAACACATTTAACTTACTGAAAAAGTGTGCCAGGGCCTTGGGTCCTTCTCTTAGTTAGTCCAGGTTATTCCAGAACACCTCACGACGTCAGTTTAAAATATTCACTTGTGGTTATGGAAAATCAACACTGAATCTCCTCACAGCATTCCCGTCTATCTGCCATTCCCAAACAGAGATACGCAAGTTTCTCCAAGAAAGCAGCTACCATCAAAGCTATCATGATGATGTTACACCCCAAATTCACATCATGTAGTTGGTAATTAGAATAGAACTTATGAGAAAAAAATGCTTCAATACAAATTGGTGATGAAGACTACTAATAATGGCAGAACGCATCTTTGGGAAAACCCTTTTTTTTTTTTTTTTAAGAATAGTCCCATCCACTAATATGGAGGCCAGGGGGATAACAGACAAATTTTGGCTTCATTGTTGGGGAGATGTTAGGTTGATCACATTTTCTATGGTCAATGGTTTATATACAAGTTACGATGCTGTGTAAAATGTAAAGAAAAAAAATGTAATGTGTGTAATATGACTTCTTCTTTTAATACTCTCTAAAGTGTATGGGAACTAAAGAAACCAGTTGCTGCAATTTTAAAGAAGAATGTTTCCCATTCTCACTTAATGTAGGACTTCATTTCATAATATGCTAAATGTTTTAGTGGGTGACAGATCTAAACTGCATTTGACTGAGCAAATCTTACCTCTCATTGATTTTCAGATACAGCCACCCTACTCTACTCAGTGTTTATTCCCAACTGACAATTTTCTGCAGTTATTTTCCCCTCTCTTCTTTTGCCCCCAATGGATGGCAGGAGTTGCCCTACCTAAAGTGAGTTCTGTTGGAGGGTGAATCCCGTGTAAAAGTAAGGGTTTTCCCCTGGCCATCACCAGTAGGCGGTAGGTGAAGTGTCTTGCCCAAGGACACAACAACCAAGACAGACAGAGCTGGCAACCTTCCAGTTACAAGATGAGCTTCCCAACCCCATGAACCACGGTTGCCACGGGTTCTCCAGCTTCAGCCCACAGTCCAAAGACATGTAAATAGTGGGGTTAGGTTAATTGATAATTGTAAATTGACCATAGTTGTAAATGTAAATACTTGTCTATGTGTTAGCTCTGCAACAGACTGGTGATCTGTTCAGGGTGTATCCTGCTTCTCGCCCTAAGACAGCTCAGATAGGTCCCAGCCACCCTGTGACCCTGAATTGGATAAGCAGAAGAGAATGGATGGATGGTTGACAAGTGGTTGCTCATAGATCACTGGCTCTTTTAGGTTCTGTCTTTAATAGAATAAAGAGAATTCCACTAATTTTGTGTAATACCTTCTATCATTCCACAGATGGCAAAAAGTGAGATATAATTTAAGAATAGATGTGTTCCCATGTGTTCGCTGTGACTACAAAGAAGGTTTTGCCCACAGTACTGTTTATTCTTGCCAGCAGCAAACAGACTGGAAAGTATTTGTCATATTTCGTAGAGACAACACGTGATCAGGAGTGACTCACTTTTCCAGGAACCCTCCATCTGTATATTTTTCTATTGCACTTCATGTCTCCATGTGTGTTGTGTGCACAGGTTGTTAAAACTATAATAATGATGAAGCCAGCATGTCACTAAAAATGAGCCTATGATGATCACACACCAGATGCAATTGTATTACCCTTCATTCTCTGCCTTCTACAGGACATTTCAGAGATTGTCTAGAGGCTCTGGAGAGTGGATATACCACCAGTGGAATGTACCTCTTAAAACCAGACAAAAGCAATCAACTTATGCAGGTCTGGTGTGACCAGAGACAAGACCCTGGTGGCTGGATCGTTATTCAGAGACGTCAGGATGGCTCTGTCAACTTTTTTAGGAACTGGGACACTTACAAGGTAATAAGTTATAGTAGCACCCAAGATTGTACTTATGAGGTTGTATGTGCTGTCTAGATACACTGAAGATACTACGAAGCAAAACTGTTAGCCGCAAATGCATTAAATATCGATGGAGCATTGCATTTTAGTAATTGAAACCTCAGTCTTTCTTAAAATGGGAAATAAATGCAGAACTATAGTAGTGCTGTTGCTAATGTAAAGAATGTCTGCCCAACACCATATACAGGGAGTGCAGAATTATTAGGCAAGTTGTATTTTTGAGGAATAATTTTATTATTGAACAACAACCATGTTCTCAATGAACCCAAAAAACT